CGACCAAATTCGGAGGGGGGAACAGATTAACCGTATTTACATTGAACCTTATGGGGAAAGTTACCTTGGGGTGCGACCAAATTCGGAGGGGGGAACAGATTAACCGTATTTACATTGAACCATATGGGAAACTTTACCTCGACTTGCGACCAAATCGAGTTGCGACCAGAATCACGGAATGGATTAAATTCGTAACCCGAGGTACCACTGTATCTTCTTGAAAGATTGTCTGTCTGCTTTAAAGTTTGGCTGTTTGTGAAAGCAACATCAAGAATCATACAAGTAGACTTCCATAATAGGTGTTTTCCATGTGCTTCAGTTTGTACAACAGCAGCCTTCCCTTCCCTCCCAAGCAGGTTGGGGTCATATGTAAAGTTACAGAGGAGAGAGAGAATCTGATCTAGTAGGAAGCCTAGTTCTGCTGGCAGGTGGTTGAAGTTGGATACAACCCAAGATTTAGTTGGAAGAAAACAATTCTAATAGTGGAATTATTATGTAGATTTAGTTATACATAATTGCAGGGGTTGTCATTCAAAGCCATCCCTGGATTAATCAAACCAATAGGATAGCGTAATCTTTGCCATGAAATAATTGTTAGAACCACTGCTTAGTTTTGCCTCAGCAGGTGGAAGTATCTGACTGGCCTTGTCTGGGCTCACAAGCTGGGACAAGCCTCGTTAATATTTGGCTGGGAGACCCAGGGAATGTTCAGGTTGTAGTCTAGAATGGAAAGTCAAAATGAAAAAAAAGAGCCAGAAGACAGCAATAGCAAACTGTTTCTGTATTGCTGCCAAAAAAATTAAATAGATGTTTCTGTGAGACTTTGTGAGAGATGTTTCTGTAGAGACTTTTTTTTTCCTCCTGCCTGTTTACTGCCTGTAGTCCTATTGTTTTAATGACTGCCTTTTTTTCCTTAATATTGCCGATTTAGATAAGCTATAGAAATCTTAGTCTGTTTATTCCTTCTACTCATCATTTACTTTTCCACTCTTGTTAGTCATAAGGATGGTTATGAAAAATACACTGCGTGGAAAAGAATTTGGACCAGTAATGGAAAAAGTGAACCCAGTCCTAAAGCTTTTATGGCTGATCAACAGCTTCCTTACTGGGTAACAGCTTTTTTGTTTATAATGATGTAACTTTCTGAAAAGAATTCAAGTATATTTTCAACTCTCTTATGCTATGTGGTCGCTAGGAGTCAAAAACGACTCGATGGCATGTAATCAATCAATTCTCAGTAACCCTTTCTGATGCAAGTGCTATGCTGTAGATCTTGAGTTCTTATGGTGAAAATCAGAATAGGTAGCTTCTTAAAATTAATTAGAACATGTATTAGGGATTGGATGGGCGCTGGCCATGTACATTTATTTGGTATCACTGTAAATAATTCTAGAGTGTCTTAGAATTTAGCCATTGGATAGAATAGCATATTCTGCAAAAATTAATTCCAACTGAATTTGTATAGGAAGATAAGAAGACCCCCCACATTGCCTTGAGCTCTCAGAAGAAAGGTGGGATACATGTATAATATAATATGCATAATATGATTTACATCAACTTTATCCAGTTCAGTGTTGCTTATACTGATTGGTTACAAGCCATTAGAGTTTCCAACAGGGGATTTACCCAACCCTTACTCAGGGTTTGAGTCCAAGACCTTTTTCATAGAAAGCATGATATCTGTGCCTGGATATTTTGTGCCTGCTTTGTATTGTTCTCTCTTTGAAGCTTCAGGTAGTTCCCAATAATATTTCTGAAATAAAATGGCTAAATTTAATTTAAGTTAATTTGAACTTTCTGAACCAATTTGAATGGCTATATTTATAATTCTTAAAATATCACTTATTAAACCCGTAGGTTCAGTGCACAAAGCCGGAGTGTGGGAAGTGGCGTCAGCTGACAAAGGAAATCCAGCTTACCTCACAAATAGCCAAAGCATACCGCTGTGGCATGAAACTGAACAGTTCTACTAAGGTACCTTCAATACCCAGTTGCACTGAACAGGCTGGTGGCTTGGCTACTTCTACCCCAGTTATATAATGTTTCTGTGAGCTTGCCTGTAGATGGCAATGTACTATACTGATGGTCAGTATCTTCATAATCTGTTGCAATGTTGCATCTGTTCGTACTTGCTAGTCATTCATACCAGTTACTTCACAGGAGCAGCTCATGTGGTTTGCACTAAAGTAATCATTCCCAATCCTTTTTTTGTATCATCAGATTTCTTTTGAGGGTCTCTGAGGAGTCAACAATGTGTTACTTACAGGCATATGACCTATTTGTATTGTAGAGAGGTTTCACAGATTAAACGAGAAATTAATTTTACAAAATGGAAAAACCAAGAGATTTTGGTGTTCCCATTTGAAATCTTGTGAGTATTGAGATGCCAAAGTCTTGTGAGATTTAATGATCACCCAATATTACGGCCACTATACGAAGTTATTTTGGCACTTGTTCCAGGGACCATCCCTGGCATAGCAATTGCTTTTGACTAGTCCAGTGTTGTCCAAACTTGGCCACTTTAAGATGAGTGGACTTCAACTCCAAAATTCTGGGAGTTGAAGTCCACTCATCTTAAAGTGGCCAAGTTTGGACAACACTGGACTAGTCATTGAGTAAAACTGTTGAGTACTCTGTTTCTTGCTTGTCACAGGCAAGTGTTTCTCTTTAAACAGAAACTCACTTCTGGGTGTAATATCTCATCTGTTGATTGGAAGTGCTTATGTTTCTTTCTTCAGATAGAGTTCTATACATCTCTAGGAAATTTATATACATCTAAAAACCTTTTGGGGAAGACAGGAAAAAAAAAATACAAAAAGTGGAAAGGTACATGTCCTTTTCCCTGCTCCAAATCACCTTCTCAAAACTGCTGCCCTCTTGAAAGAAAATGCTTCCCACATCTTTTAAAAAAAAACCTCAGATTTGAGTGTCAGGTACAATGTTGTGTGATATTGAGCAGACGCCACACCATTGCTTCGGTCACAAAACATTATCTAACTCTAGAAGCTGTTTAATTTACAATGCTGATGACAGAGGGCATTTTGTTCCAGCTGGAAAGACTCAGATTACTTATATTTATTCCAGGTGGAAGGCTCAGACCAATGCTCCATGCCTGAGGATCTGGTAAGCAACACATGTGATATTAAAACTAATGGATTAATAGAAGTTGCATGCTTAGCAATAAATTCATGATGCGGTCAAACATCTCTGTTTTAGAACTGGTCACTTTTTGAGAACGCAGAGCAATTGAATAAAGCGATGTGGCTAGTATTCTTGTACTGTGTCTGCAGGATGATCTGTATGTTGCTTCTGTTTTGAAAAGAACAAAACGGAGCATTTCTACTTTCCCGACAGTGTCACTGCAAAGTCTTAGCTCTCAAAGTTGTATTAATGTAGTAGGGATAATGATGACCTGTGTCAAAAAAGCTCAACTTTTTTAGTTATAACCAACTGAACGAGTAACCTGTACATTGTTAAGGCATGTTCAGAGAATTTTACTGCACCTCTGAGGGAATTGGCAAATATATATTGCGTGTGTGTGTATGTGTGTCTGTCTGTCTGTCTGTCTGTCTGTCTATCTATCTACCTATCTATCTATCTATCTATCTATCTATCTATCTATCTATCTATCTA